ACAAGCAGATTTGAAGTAAACTAGAGCGTGAAGGCCCCTGGCCTTTACTGTGATCCAGTGCGTCCTAACGCAGCGGACGGAAGATGGTCAAGTTTGAACTAAACAGTACCACGGCCTGACTTGCTACCTCCGACATGCCTAAGATCCCCCGCGCCACATTCGCCAGCCATGCACCATTCCACGAATACTTTCATCTCCTGCATCATCTTTAAACATTGCCTGCCAGCTTGTCAGCTAGGCTCGGGACCAAGCGACCAAGTGTTACTCACGCCTGTCTGTATTTGCACAATTTCTTCACAAGACCATCCCAATCTCTTTGCTACATCAAAGAATTCCATATCTTTCTTCGCTAGCCAAGGTCGATGATGTGTGAAGAAGACGAGCACACACGGCGTCATCGGGGAATTCGCCTCTTCATAAACCATATTTTGAGTCGGTCTGGCAAGAACTTGATCACATGTGCGCAACAAAGCATCGTGCTATAATGTGTCAAAGAGATCAAGTCACTGAGAGCTTGTTTACTGACCTGTGAATGGTTGAACAGTAGGTCACTCAACAAGATGACATCGAACTCGCCATCCAGTAGTAACTCGGTTGGAGCCGAGCCCCAAATAAAACCCTTGGACATGTATAAATATACGAGGAGGTAGATTCTCGTGGTGAATATCGCACCGTCACTTTGGTCTTTTGGAGCGTTTCACCTGTTAGGTTCTCTTTGACATTTGCCTGTAGATTACGAACGAGATCTGGATCTGGATAGTCGGTCAAGACCACCTGGTTGATTCTGAATTAGTATTTTGCTGATGAAAGACAATATATCTTGCCCCACCGAATTGGCTTGGTTCATGGCTGCTACCAGTGCAGGCAAACCGCCCCCGGCACCAAGCTCTAGTATCCGCTTTTGACGACAGAGAGCTTCCCAGTGAGTGTCCAGAAAGTTGGCGAGGCACTTGGCAGCATTCCATCTATGATGAAGTGAGATCAACTCGTAGCATCCGAATTGGCCAAATAATACTACAAATGATGGCCCCAGAGGGGATGCTGGCCAACCAGATGTATCTTGACTTCGTTTGGGCCCCTTGATCCGTCATCAATAGCTCTAGAATACACTTCTAC